GAAACACTTGCAAAAAACCCTAAAACTAACCCTAAAACTAACTCTACACCACTCCAAAAACCTAACCCTCCCATCGTATTCTAACTCTAGCCCTGACTGCAAATCAGGAACCCTACTTCTTGCCCTAGGTTACAGAAACCCTAAGCGTTGCCGAAGACTAGCCCTAAGCCTAACTTCAGGTACGGTGAGGGGAGGGGAGGGATCAGATATAGATGGCACTTCAGCCCCATCTCAATTATTCCAATGCGCAGGACCCGCCCTTGGAGCCTACTGAAAGCCAACCCTAGTGCCACCTCACAATCCTTAGAAAGTCTATTCTCCGCCATGCGCTCACTGGCGGTAATCCCAGTGGCCACCTGCGTTTTAAGGACAGAACTCCTACAATTACACCAGAAATGGGACGAGGCTTTCCGAGCCTTATCCGCACAGGTACGTGGCAAAGCCGAGACATACTCCTACAGTGCTACCTGTGAGTGCGGCAAGACCCTGGACTATACTGACAACACCAAAAGTGACGTGCTACTGAGCGGTATCTACGATTCTGACATCCGTCGTGAAATCCTTGGAATGATGAACATTCTGGACAAGCCTGTCAATGATGTCATAGCGCTGGTAGAGGCGAAAGAAGTGGTGCGAACAAGTTACCCTCAGCAAACCTATCGGCACTCTCAGCCTTTGAACGGCTCAAAAAGACACAGACAACCCCCAAAAACACACCCCCTGCCGTGGATAAAGCCCGAGAGGCCAACTGTCCTGACTGCAAAGGATTGTTTAAAGTTTTCACCAAAGGAGCTAGGGGATTGATCAAGAAACCGCATCAAGTCTGCATTGATTGTTACAGAGCCCGGAGACGGAAGAACCGCCCACAATAAGCCAATGTCCACGCGATCGAATCAGAGCCAACCTCTCAAATTTCCGCTGTGCACCATGCGGACTCACACACTGTTCACCGAAGGCGACGCCCTAATAGTAGAAAACAGGATACCACGCAGCAAATATCTCAAAACCAACCATCACAATTGCAATTGACAGAACAGCCCACAGCAGTGATACCAAAGCCTGCGACATCCAAGCAACAACCACTGCAATTGCTGATACCGGAGCAAAGTCAGACCTCTGGCCCCTGGAGGAGTTCCTGACTTGCGGGTTTTCTCATGATGACCTTCAAACCGTAAGTCTCAGCGTCTCAGCTGCCAGGCATGCCAACGATGGTTGTACGGGATCACACAACTCACAGGATTCCACATGTACATGCCCCCAGTGTGAAGCCCCACCACCACACCCTCGGGAACTGCCATTTCCTTGTACACCCGACAACAATAAGAGGATGGAAACCTGGCTCCTTGAGAGATATACATCATCAACATTTAACACATGTCCCCATCGTGCATTGCCATGCATGGACGGTCCACCAGTGGAAATACACGTCGACCCTCCGGCCACCATACGTCTCCACTGGCAGCTCCACAAGGTTTCTTATCATCTGGGGACGGCTATAATCGACGCTTCGATTCAATACTCTCGGAGTTTGACCGCAAAGAACGTTGTGTCGACGACACAATCCACTATGACACGGACTTGGAACAGCATTGGAGAACAATTGACTTCCTCTCCTGCGTAGGCCCAGTCGGAATCGTGCCCTACTAAATTTCAGTTCGCCGAACAGAGCGTGGACTTCACTGGTTTCAGGGTATCTGACACAACTATTGAGCCCCTTTAAAGTACTTGGATGCCATTTGCGACTTCCCCTCCCCAGCTTCAACGACAGACGTCAGAAGCTGGTTTGGCCTCGTAAACCAAGCAACTAACTACGCCCAGCTGCGCGACATAAGCCCTTCAAGCCCTTCTTGAGCCCCCGCTGTAAGTTTCAATGGTCACCTGAGTTTGAGGCATCCTTCCAAGCATCAAAGACGATCATTGTGGACGCAGCAAGAGAGAGCGTGGAAATTTTCGATATGCAAAGACGCACCTGCCTTCGCCCAGACTGGTCTTAGCGTGGCATAGGATACTTCCTACTACAACAGCACTGCGACTGTCAGTCGGGCATACCGGACTGCTGCCCAGGCAGATGGAAAATAACTTTAGCAGGTTCACGGTTCCTCTCCCCTGCCAAACAAAGATATGCAGCCGTTGAAGGTGAGGCCATCGCCATCGCCTGCGGCCAGGAGCAAACTCGATACTTTACACAAGGCTGCGACAATCTTGCCATGGTCACGGGTCATAAGCCACTGGTAAAGATCTTAGGGGATCGAACCTTAGACGAAATTTCAAACTCAGGCCTGTTTAGACTGAAGCAGCTGACCTTGCCTTGGCGATTTGACATTGAACACCGACCCGGAAAGACCAACATTGCTGCCGACGCTACATCCAGGCACCCGTCGCCGTCAAGTTCAGGAGTTGACCTCTCCATTGGACCCCAGAGCAAACATGACATTGCAGAGTCCACTCCCTTTGGGAAAATCTTCGCCGACTTCACTGACTACGGCGGCCATCACTACCTCATCGTTGGTGACCGCCTCTCGAGCTGGGTGGAAGTGCTCTCCTCTACGGCAGGCACAGATCTAGGAGGATCCAAAGGCCTTATCTGCCACCTTCGCGCCTTCTTCGCAACCTTTGTCATCCCAGAAGAGCTATCGAGTGATGGCGGCCCCGAATTCATGTCCAGCGTCACTGAACGGTTCCTCTAGACATGGAACGTCAAACACCGTGTGTCATCCGTCAGCTTCCCCTAGTCTAACGGGAGAGCAGAAGTTGCAGTTAAGGCCGCCAATCGACTCCTGATGTCCAATACTGGACCAACAGGAAGCCTAAACCAGGACTGCTTTCTTTGAGCAATCCTACAGATGCGAAACACATCAGACTGCGACTGTAATCTTTCACCAGCCGAAATTATCTTCGGACGCCCCCTTCGTGACTCGCTTTCCTTTGTCAACCGTCTAGAGAAATACACAAACCCACACATCCGCCACTGTGGTGCGATGCATGGTCGGCCAAAGAAGAAGCCCTGAGAACTTGGATCTCATGAACAACAGAAAATCTGAAGGTTCACTCCAGACAGCTCCACCCATTGGCCACCGGCGACCGAGAGTTCTTGCAGAACCAAAGAGGACCCCATCCAAACAAGTGGGATAGGTCAGGGCTGGTAGTGGAGTCAGCGGGCAATGACCAATATAGGGTCAAGATAGACGGGTCAGGTCGATTGACACTACGATATTGTTGCTTATTGAGAGCATATACACCAATTGCAACTTTCTCAAAGCAGCAACTAGACAACGCGACCCACCCTCCACTCTATCATCAACAGCCTTCACTACCTCTGATAGAAAATAGCGTGCCCAGGCCCAGTCAGGGCGCTATAGACCAAATCAGCGAAGGCAATACTAACTATACTGCAACTCTCAGCACACCACCAGCTACTACCACTAGTGAATCAGACAATCAGAACATCCCAGTCAACTCCCAACCAGAGGAAACTACAAATAACTCGAACATCGCGGTGCCAGAAACCTACCCAACACAGTTGCAATCCCAAAAATTACCACAAGGTCGCCCCACCCGGGTCAGGCGAACACCAAAACACTTTAAGCCAGAGACAGGCACATGGAAAGACAGTTAGTCCAGCAATCTACAATAGCTTCCTGGACTGGGGGGGACCGCTGACAGTCTCAAGCGAGTCGGCCATTTTGTCGAATTGTTATTGCTAATGCACTAGTCAAAGTAACCGCCACCCACTCACTTAAATTTCACAGTTATATTCTAATAGTTTTCTCTCTGTTTTGGTTTTTGTCCCCAGGGGGTCGAAGATTTGATTTCCTATTCTCCCCCACGATGTGAGGTATTTACCAACATTTGCCAAGTAAGTCCATTTTGCAAATGCCCACATATCCCCACCCTGTCCCGGGTTCGGGGGGGGGGGGGGGGGGGTTACTTTGACTAGTGCATAATCGTTATAGCTATGTTATACATTATTTCTTCTGTCCACGTCGTGGTTCAACAGACTTCTAACCTTATTATTGTCATTTTATATCTACTTTGTGTTGTTCTATTATATATTTGTATTTGGTTCCGTTTTACTTGTAAAGTCTTGTTTATATTATCGTTTTGTCACGATTTGTATTGTAGGACTTTATCATCGTTGCATTGTGATAATAAATTGTTTCTTGCATCGAGGAGCATTCCTTCAATTATTGCTATCTCAAGCTATCAGTAAACCAGACATTTTTGCTATCTTAGGCTATCAGTTAACCGCAAACTGTGATCTCGCCCCCAATCGATATCGCCCCGTGATTTCGCCCCCACAGTCATTGATATATGTGCAGTCATAATGTTATGTTAATATGCTTAAACACAGTTTAGAATTAAACTATCGTTAACTTTTAGTTTTACAGGCCTATATGAACAAATTTCAGTGAAATTTCTTTTTCAATACAAACGACATAGTTAATAGAGAGGACTAGTCCTCTCTATTAACTATGCAAACGAGTAGTGACTGGTTGAATTCGAGCATACTTGACAATAACATAACAAGACATATTGCCAGACAGTCAGACAGTAAACCAGACATTATTCCGGTCTAAGTGAAACAGTTAACCAGACACTTTGTCATCTATAAATTCAAACAATAGTCTAGATGCTTTGCCATCTAAGTCAGACAGTAAACCAGACACTTTCTCATCTAAGTCAACCACAATATATTCATACTTGCCATTCATTCTTCCTATATTTTAGGAACGAAGGGCCCTCATTAATCCTTTGACTATTACAACCCAATTGTCATGAATAATTACATTTAGCATCAAGAAAATGGTAAATTATTGCAGCAATGATTGTTATCAGTGACCCATTTACATATAGCAGTTTTATTGTCCAGCATTACAAAACAGACTACTTTATATGAAATGAAAATATTTAAAACAATTACAATTAGTTAGCAAATATTCTACAGGCCGGTTATATAACCTGTTTACATTACCATGTGCATCCTGTTTGGAAAAGTTTACCTTTGTTTCTTTTCTTCAATGTCATCTATATCATTGTTGGCTTTCTTCGCTTTATTGCCACCTCGCTTCCTCTTATTTCTTCTTTCCTTTCTCTTTTGCTTGATCACATCTTCATCATAACGTTGTGGACCACTTCTTTGAGTGTGACTATTATTGTCTGCTTCGTCTTCTTCATCACTTGTGGTATCACCATCATCACTCATTTCCACTACTTGCTGCAGCAGAATTTTAAATGAAAAGTAATTAAAGCTACAAACAAAACATTTATAAAGATCAACTTGGGATTACGTTGATTGATAATTGTTAGTGCAAATGCACCCTGTATTAATGCAATATACATTTAAATATAGACATATTGGATGTAGTTAAAAATTTCCCAATTTAAAATAACCTAAAACTTTGTGTTAGTATCCAAGGGAAGAAAGCAAATTTGTTTGATATAAAGAGCTGCAGGTAGGAGAGCCTGGCCATGCAGGCTATATGGAATATGGCTACATTGTACAGTCATGATAATTTTCATGACATTCACACATCTACAAATTAACATACTTCTCAACACTAAGTTCAAACAGGAGAATCTACGTAGCACTCAGTTGATGTAATATATTCATAAAGATATAATACAAAACACATAATACAATAGAACGAGAAAC